TCTTACAGTAAAAAAAAAATTCCTTTGCCTTTTATACTAAATCTCTTTTCTTCCAGTCTAAATGTGTGACCTCGTGTCCTATGTATACATACCATAACCATTACAAGGTGGGACAGTGGTTCTTCCATGAAGATCATTTTAAAAATGCTTTCATTTTCTATGTGGTGATTAGGGTCTAATAAAATTTTGGTTAAGATATAAGCCTAAACCATGCACTTTGCAGGTATTTCTTTGGTACTTAAATTCTTTTTTTATTTCTTGATTTTCTTAGGTTTTATCTTCACTTTAGCTGCTTTCTGCTTCCATTTTTTTTCCCTTTACTCACATTGCACTCCTCTTTGTAGGCGAAGTGCACATTACAAGAGATGTAAATGATCTATAAATGCCAACTTTTTTTAAGACTGCAGTCTACAAGTTGACAATAATTATATTTTTTTTACTTTTTCACTATAAAAATAATGATTGATTAAACCGTGTACGCATGTTGCCATGCTCCTTCGTTGATTTATATGTCGACTTTACCTTGGTATACACAAACATGGCAATAAAACGTTTATTGGGGAAAAAAAGGTTTAATTAAATTCATAGATACTGCAAATATGTCACAACTATTGTACTACCATGTTAGGACAAATTGTAAGTTAATTTGCTTAATTGTTCTTAAACGTTATATTATTTTTACAAGGCTATAAAAAAAACTCCAGTATTTGTATTTGCCTTTTTTTAAAAAGGCACTCTACCCAATATAATCTTTACAGCTCGCTGTGGTAGTTAGGTTGCCTAGATTGTCCTGGCACTTTCCCCTGGTGTAACATCAAGCTGTTTACAAATGATTGGATATAAACCAGGACACATGCTCCCTGCTTGGCCTTACATACATGTAAAATTAAAGAGTTAATTCAAGCACAATGTCCACTTCATTGATTGAAAGTGGTCATGGTACCTGGAGTGTCTATGTGCAGCGCTTCGATTTGAAATGCTGCCCATACGGAGATTAACCCCTTAGCTGCCAGAGGTGGTAACTCCATCTCTGGCAGCATCATTTTGTAGCCCAGAACAAAATTCCAGGCTGGCCAATGCCAATTTTGTGCCGAAATTAGCATTTGACATCAGCATGCTAGCACCACACAGTCAACTGTGGCTCGGCCCCCTCCTCCATGCCACCTCTGTCCTCCTAGACTTCCCTCTCTCTCCAACCAAGGGGAGTGAAATTAGCCAAGGAGGATTGGACTGAGAGGAGAACTTGGACTCGGCAATTGAATGGAGGTGATTTTAAGAGCAGTTGTTTTTATATTTTAGGGAGCCTCCCACCTTTTATGAAAACGCTGTTTTTTGGTTGAAGTAAACCTTTAACATTTTAGCATTATCAGTGTAATTATTGCCCAACCTAGACGCCATTGATTGGCTGAGAGTGCTTGAAGCAGGTCAGACCAGTAATCCCAGGCAATCAATGTGAAATAAAATGTACACTGATACAGCTGAAGTGTTACATCTACTTTATCAATGCAGCCGAGGACAGGGTGGTCCCTGGACTTTAAGAAGAGCTCTGATTTATGTCAAACCAGGTGCGGTGGTTATGTTGCTTAAATTGTTTCTTCAAATGCAAAAGTTAACATGATTTTCTGGGTTAATCCCTTTGTGACAAGCTACATACCCTGTACATTGCCATGACTAATACACGTAGTGACGGCCGACACACAAGGTAAGGCATGTCATTATTGTGATTGGCTCTCAGGGTGATCCCTTAGCCTTTCTTTGCAACATTATACTATTGTTCATAATTTGCATTTCTCAAGGAGTACAGACACAGGAACCTAACAGACCCATAATCATAACAGTAAATATAACACAAAAAAAAAGTGTAAACATTTTTGTAAAACAGCGAAAATTTACCCTTTACAGTAAAAATAAAAAAATAAAAAACACAGCATCAACATCAAATCAGAAAAAGGAAGTGCATGAGAGCAAACAAACCTAATGTGTTTTGTATATATATTATGCACTTATTTCAAAAACATTCTTGATTCATAACTATCTAGACTTCAAATCTCCTCTTAGATAAAAGAATTTCACACCCTACCCCAATAATCAATATTCTGTGATCAGTGGTGTATCCTGGTTTTGTGCTGCCCTAGGCACGAGGGAACTGGGCAGAGAGCTCACTAATCAGTGCTCCCTCGCCAGCACCGCCCGCCCGCCTAGATTGTCAGTTAGCCGCCAGGCTAACAAGACATTTGCCTGGGCATTTGGGGGCAGCTTTTTTGGCTGCCCCCTGGAAAGTGCTGCCCAAAGCAAATGCCTTGTTTGCCTCGCGGCTAATACGTCCCTGGCTGTGGTAATAGGTAATGATATATAGGCAGCTATAGACAAATTCCAAAATTAGAAAGGGCATGGAACCTTTCAAGAAGGAATTAATACTTATTTAGGTGAGGATAATTAGGCTTCTGACAATTTGACTTATAACATCAATCTGTTATAGGAATGCTGAAGTGGGTATCATGAAACATAGAGATTACAAAGAAATCTGTATGATAAGATGATCCCTATATCAATAAAGCAAAGTCTATAGACCCAAGACAAGTACAGATCAATGATACTTTAAAAGCACATAAGCTCTCGTGAGCAGGGCCCTCAAACTCACTTTGTTCCTGTGCGTCCAACTTGTCTAGTTACAAATACATGTCTGTTAGTCCACCCATTGTACATCGCTGCAGAATTTGTAGGCGGTTTATAATAGGGATGCACCAAAATTACGGCCGAAAACGGGCCTATCCCATTTCGGCCGAAAAGGGATCAAATCTGCTGAAAATTACACCAGGACCGATCCTGGGCGGGTGCACAGGTTACACCATGCCCAGGCACAAGGTGATTGTGGGAGAAGGGGGCGTCGACTGCCCTCATTGAAGCTTACTGATAAGACTCAGTGATGTATAGTATTTCTGTGCAGCACTGAGGGCTGCTTCTTGCGCTGTGCCCTTACCCCCCTTTGCTTCTGAAGTGATCCTTCGTGGCAAGCTGACACTCAGGTAGCATGCAGCTCCATAAGAGAACCCCACGCACTAAATCAGCAGAGTGTCATGTGACTACCTGGTGCTCACTTTGAAACATGCAGAGCATGCCGTGCAGGATTTCGATGAGCCACCCGTCGTTGCCATGACAGGGATAACAGCAGGGAAGGGGGTCAGTGTGTGTGCAGAGCTGGTGTTGGCTCTGTGAAAGAGACAGGTGCTGCTTGGGAAGGAGAAGTATGGATAGATGGAACAGAGGTACACCTAAGAAGAGGGGAAAGTGAGAAACAGGGAAGAAGGGGGGAGAGAGACATGGAAGAAGGGGGGAAATTGAGAGATAGAAAAGGGGGAAGTGAGAGACAAGGAAGAAGGGGGGAAGTGAGAGACATGGAAGAGGGGAGTAGTGAAAGATGGAAGATGGGGGAGAGAAACATGGGTTGTAGTTTATTGGCTTATAGTTTTTAATATTAGATTAAATTAATTAAACTGTCTAATATTAATAAAATTATAGAAAAACTATTTTAAAATCATTTGGAGGAAAAAAGTTATTTTCGGTTTCAGTTTTCGGCCAAGGGCATCCTGAATTTTTGGTTTCGGCCAATAATTTTCATTTTTCATTTTAGTTTATAAATAACAATAATATAATAATAATACCACACTGTAGTTACATGGGATTTGTGCACTGGGAAGTCTTCTCTTGACTATAGATCTATTACATTTAACTTTTTTGTGTATTTTTGTGTGTAAATTTATAGCATATTCTTTTAGAATTTACATTTGCTTGGGCAGAACCATCGTCTCTTCTTTCATGGTTTTCTCGTTTATTGTACTTCGTGTACGATTAAATAGTTTATGCCTGTATTACATCTAGAATATTTATTTTGCATATGTAATATATTTGTGCTTAATAAATAATAATAACTTTAATATACCATGCTTCAAATAATGGGTTTTCAAACAGAGTGATTGTACCGGTTTATGATAAATATAATTTTTTCAGATGACATATTGCCAGTAAGTCATTTGTGAAGATTCCTATTCTTGTCACACTAGAACAATTCTGATAAATCTCCACATGCTGACAAAATAATAAACTTTCCATTTACCAGTATTGCTGTATGTTATCTAACAGACTAATAGCTTTTAATGGGGGTCTTCTTAATGTGTTTATCTTGTGGCAGTGTGTAATCTGATACAGAGATTTGCCAGTAGTCTTGTTCTTATTGGTGTAATTGCAATAATAGAAAGAAAAGAGATTATTAGACTAACCTCTTACCAACAGCTGAAATCGTTCCTTTGGAATCATGCTTGAGAGACATACCCATTGTTCTAATCTATGTACTCATCTGTTGATTATCCAATATTGCTGAAACGATAATGGACTTGTTTACTGCAAAGTGGGCTGTGCAAAGGTTTTTCTAGTAATTCTGTTAAGAAATAGGATGTTACACCATTACTATAAGAAATCCTTACCTAGTAAATTTATCCTGGAGTGCTCTGTGATGAGGGGTTATTTACCTTTCCATTTACATGGGCTCTACCATAATATGTCATAAACATTTAGGGTTCTATAGCATCTTTAATTGTGTGCTGTTAAAATAATTTTTTGTCAGGGGGGCGGGGCCGGGCCGCCGAGCTGAGCGGTCGCAGGAAAGAACAGCTCCTTCACAAAATGACCCATTAAGCTTATAAATCGTGATTTGGGTGAAAATAAGTAACCAGCAACCATGACCCTCGATGTATACAGGCTACCGGAGCTGAGGTGAGGCTTGCTTGTTCTAGTCCCTTTGGAGGAGAGATCCCTGCTGCACCCGGCGGGATCCTGCCTGGCAGTGAGTGGAGTGGAGGGCCGCTGCTCCACTATCCTGCCCAACAGAGCCCAACAAGCGCATGGAACATCGGCGGATCTGGTCCTGATCCCCGGTCCTTGCCCTAAAGCCACACTCTGAGGCACTACCAAACCACAATGCAGGCCCAAGACCCAAGGCTAAGATGGCGGAGGCCATGTGCGCGGGAACCGAACCGCAGTGCCCAAAGCAGCCTGCAGTCACTAGCTGGCCAGACGCACAGGGCAATAAACACCAAACGACTCATACTATACAGCTGCTCCCAAGTCCGGAGACACATCGGGCGCACGGCGCTAGTAACCCAGCACGCCCAGAGACAGCTCGCCCTTCATCTGAGCTGGGCGCTCACCAGGAGGAACTCCTCCACAGCCTGCCATACCCCCAGGGAGAATACCGGGATCCGGCGGAACCCTGGGCCCACGATCCTGCTGATGGAATGAATGGCGAATGGGCATGAGCACCTATTAAGGCCTCAGGCCAAATACTGGTGGCCCACGGATGCAGTGTCACCACAACATCAGGAAGAAACAGCTACCTCGGCGAACTGAAGTGGATCTACAACTCTGCACAGAACCAAGCGACATCCACCCCGATGCACAACAGCATACCCTGCGGAGTGCGATGAGTACAAAAAAGGATAATAACGGACACACTAACTATTGCCTTGCGAACTTCATGACACATAGCTAGGACTTGGGTAAAAAATCATAAACGCTGCCAGCTGAAACCCTCTTGTACGCTGCTTTATGTATTTTGCTTACCTAACATGCTAGCCACGAAAACTTCTTGGCTTAGCAGGCAGTGCCTGTACTCGCCTGTGTAAAGCGTGGTCATTCACATATTAATCCATCCTGCACCATACCGTTAAAAACATGCTTACTTTAGTATGTATCTCTGATGAAAAACACGGCACACACATTTTCACATAACTCTACAAGCCTATCGAACCCACGGGTACTCCTTACAATAGTGATACTGACCCAGCTTACACATAACGTAGATAACATGTTTATTTTGTTGGGAGTCTCAGGTGTGGGGCACAGCATACACATTTTCACATAATCTTACAAACCTGTCGACTCCAATGTGACCCCCCACAATAGTAATACTAACCCAGCTTGCGCCATAACGCAAATGGCATGTTTATTTTGTACGATATTTTTGGTGTGAGACACAACATGCGCATACTCTCACTAATCTCTAGCGCTAACAAATAGTGTTAATCGATTTGTATAAGCTTATACCTAACCTTTTGCATCTTACGATATTTGTTATACCTAGCTTGAATACTGAGCATCCTCCTGTTAAGGTGGCAGATTCGCCAAGGAGCTACTCACGTTTAACAATATCATACTCTACTTTTGTCTAGCCACGTTAAGCATTAATAAGTTATGCTTGTTATTAATATTCTGGAATGCTCAATTAATATAAAATGAGGCTGTTACTCACAGGAGATGTTAAAATGTGTTATCATATCCCTATCCTGGATGAGAAACGTACGTCTCCCCTTCTTCATTCTGTACCTTTTATAACGCTTGCCTCAATAAAACAAAGATTGACAAAAAAAAAAAAATGTTTTTGTCTATATAGTAGGTACTGACAAAAATACTTCCATGAGTGAAGAAGTGGATCATTGAATGGGAGGGATACAGTAAGGAATGTTGCCAATGGAATGACAAGTATCACTTTTAGATATCTGGTTTTTACTGTTTTTTAGCATTAAGTGCCAACATATTCTGCAGCTCTTATACCACCTTGTGAAAGAAGGATTTACTTTTCAATCCATCCAAATAAATAATATAGATCACGGGTACCCAAAAGGTAGATCCCCAGGCGTTTTAAAACTACAGCTTCCATGATGCTTTGTCCTTCTAAAGGCATTCTAAAGGAATGCAAAGCATCATGGGAGTTGTAGTTCTACAACATCTAGGGATCTATCTTATGGGCACACTTGATATAGTTTAATAAATATGTTTTTTTCTTGTTTCTTTCTCTTTCTCCATCCTTCTCGTATTGGTAATATATCCTGGTTAGATCCTATTGATATCTCTATTAACTTATCTACGTCTTAGTTTGTCTGGCCTCAGTAGTCCACCTTATCACTGTGAAGCCTTTCTCTGGTCGGCCCATAAGGCTTTAACCAGAGCAAGTCTATTAACATATTCCCATTTTATGAGACTGTGCGTAGTGTACAACACAAATCTTGATACAAACTCAGCAGGTTGTAAACACAAAATTAATATCTCACCAATCCAATAGGTACTGGAAAAGAACAGCTTAGATAATTTATGAGGTGACTAGAAACATAATTAGAGCATTGTAACCAAAATGTATAAATTCTGTGGTTAATGGGGGAAAAAAAATGTGTTAACTCTGCAATAGTTTTATTAGTGTTTCCTGTCAGTTAATGTGGCTGTGCCCTTTTGTATTCATACCATTCAATGTATTGTAAAATAAATAAATAATACATATTTTAAGATTGTGCAGTTGTTTGTGTTTAGTTTTGGGGTTCCCTGTATAATTTGAGGCAATCCTGTTCTGTTGCATCTACCATAAGTAACTTAATGATTCTCACCATACGGCATTTATGCAAATGGTTGCTCTAAATAAAGTGAGTGCACTATAAATGAGAACTTGATAACTCACCAAAAATACCCATGTTAAGAATGAGATCACTATTTTCTGTACATGATCTTGTCTTATTTGCTATGCAGTAATGGCTGACAACATCAGTTTGCAATTGAATTGTTGATGTGCAAATATGTGTGTAATACATTAGAATGGTTTTTTGTTTGTTTGTTTTTTAATTTTAGGTAGAAATAGTCACATTAGAAAAAAACTCCAGCTTGGCTATTTTGGCCTAGAAATTGTAAGTTTTTCCACAATTCACAGATTAATAAATACACCTTGTCGTTGTACATATACATTTGGTGCCCATTCCCTAAACAGGAAATTGTGGTGAGTAGAATACAAAACTACAAAATTCAAACTAAAATGATGAATATGTCACTACAGCTGAGTTGAGAAATATCTCAAAATCAGTTATTTCAGCATACATTTTGCAATTTGGTTTTTAATTACTATTTAGCAAATAAACACCTGTGAGAGTTTTAGTTTGTTAATAAAGTATGTTTAGAAGATAACTTTGAGGTGTTTTATTATATAATGTCATATTATATTTTATTTATCTATACAGGGAGGTGTACTTTTTATTTTACTATCTATTTCCCTTGCATTTCTTATTATGGTTCAAAACAAATATTAAACACATTATCTAAGAATATTTGGATCACATTAGCCTGTAAAATGCCTGATTTTAATAGGCATTTATTACGTGTCACGTGTTTGGCTTTGTTTAGGTGATATATTTTGAGATGACAGCATACTAGATAACCTTGCAAACTCTGTACCTGGATAATCTTAAATTCCTGCCCACACCCTGCTTTTACCTTTTCATGATCTTGATAAAAGTACCAGATTCCTCTGTTCCCTAATTATCTTAGGCAAGCACTGTCATTTGCAACAAGTCATTGCTGCAAGATGCATTCAAATTAAGTCCTGACAAGCCAATGACATTAGGTATATACATAAAGAAATTAGGATTTATCCTACCAATTAAAAATAAGGTATGGCTGTTAATACTTCACACTGTGAATGGTGGAACTTGTTAATCTGTTTTCGTCTTTACAGTAAAGAGATTGAAAGGATTGTGGTCAAGATCATTTGCATGCATTATGGACTCTCCATTACAACGGTTGTTCTGTTTTTTGTTTTTTTCAAAACAACTGTGTTAACTGCCATCTTTTTTATAATTTTTTTTTGCCCCTGTTTCAATAATTGCACACGTACATGGTATTCGCTAACGTGAATTGTCAGGAAACAAAAGAGTAATAATAGAATCTTACATTTTAAAACAGAATAGAGGAATTGTGGAAGATTTTTTCTGAGTCAGATAAGTTTGTTGTTCGGCTTTTTGGGGCAAAAGTTTGAAATTTGCTTGGAACTCACTTTAAACTCTCAACAGGAATTGTGAGGTGCACCAACACAGAGGAACAGAGTATAGAGCACTTAGGAAGACACAGGCCTTGACAGAAACATACTGGCCAATGCAAATGTTGGCTGAAGAGGACCTGCTTCATACTGGTTGTGACAGTTCCTCTGTCTCTGGGTTAGAAATTCGTTATTTTCTTCGTTTGTTTATTCATCAAAAAAACACTTTTCATTCCCTTCAACCAAATTGCACTTCAGATACAGTCGAAGTGCCGAAATAGTCAAAGTGGCCTCCATTCGTATAGTCGAACACGTGGCCGCGGCCATTTTACTTAGTCGAACGAGCTCAGCAGTGTTTTGACGTCGAGTTCATGGAACTCAAATCGGACACACAACGGCATGAACATCGCTGAACTTTACCTTCTCCGGGACTTCGACTCTTCGTCGTCAATTCGAACAGCGCTTTTAACATTGTGCATCAACGGTTCCCGTTCGACTATTCGAACTAAACTTAGACATTGAACTGTTTTGGGCATGAAGCCATGCTTGCTGTCGGTCAAATATGACTTCCAGGAATTTCCTGAACCCCTGCTCTGATCTGGGTGATTTTTTGATATGTTGTTCACCCAGATCAGGGCTATCAGGGGTATGTGTAATTTTGGGGTACTTGTGTCATATTTTAAAAATGTTTTTTCTGTTAAAGTTAATTTAGTTAGTCCTTTGTCTTCAGTAATTTTATCACAGGCAGAGGGGAAGGATTGTGTACAGTATGTGGGAGTGGTATTCATGATCACACTGTTTCTGATTGGCCTGTATGCTTTATGTCTGGTGCCCACCAAGGTCCAGCTGGCCTTTTAAATACTTTGGGAAAGGATTGGTACTTTTTATAGTAGTCGAATTGTAGGCCATTTTAATTCAGCCGTGTTTTGCAGTCGAGTTCATGGAACTAAAATTAGATACTCAACAGCACGAACACCGCTGAAGTTTTACCTTCCCCAGACTTCGACTCATTTGACTGAAGTTGAACGCCGTTTGACTATTCGAACGCCACATTAATACTGAATATTTTCACGAACGGCACCCGTTCGTGCATTCGAATGGGACTTAGCCTTTTTACTGTGTTAAATAGACCAACCGCACAGCCTAAATCTATGGAACTCTTTTGGGCAGGAAATCCTGCGTACGGTCGGTCAAAAGAGGCTTTGACAAAACTTTAACCCTATGGCAAAGTTATTCTGTTCGTGGGATGTGAGCGCTGTTCGCCTATATTGAGCGCTCAGATCCGAGCTATCTGGGGATAGGTTGAATGTGGGGGTTCTCTTCAGTAGGATAGAAATGATGTATTTTTATGTATTTTTACTGTTATTGTAAATGGAGATATTTTTTGTACCTGGAGATAATTGAGTTTACTACGGTTACTTAAGCCAATTATCTCCAGGATAGAGGGGAGGGATTTTACTGTGTATG